TGATAGCGATGCTTTTTAGGGTTAATGTATGTAGGTATTGGGGGAAGGCGAGGGATCAACCCACAAGGAATGGAAGTGGTTTAAAGCTTATATTTCAGCTTTTGCTGCTCATGTAAGAGTCCAGTTTCTAAGTTAGTTACAGGCTGTAAAGCTTCTTCACTCTAGAACTGTCTGAAAACTAAACTTGGATTAACTCTTGATACAAACAGTAAATTGAAAATGCAGTGACCTTGTTTTTAAATTTTACTCCGAAAGCATGTTTTTTTAGCTACCCACATTTTTTAAAAATGTTAAGAGCTGAAACGGCTCAGCGAGCATTTGCTGTTAATGACCAGTATGTGGAGTCTGACTTAGCTTTCCAGAATTGATATTTGGGGTTTTATTGTCAAATCACAGCCCTAAATGAAGATTGTTGAATGGTGCACTATGTTTTTGTTTAAATGAATTTTCCTGAAATAATTTCAGAAATAAGGGAAATTGCCATTGCTATCATAAGGCATCGTAAAAATGCATATTTTAAAAGCTGAAGCAATTTCAAGCAGATAAGAGTTCTTAATGAAGCAGAAAGAACATGAACCTGGGATTTGGAAGACCTGGCTTCTCATTGCTACTGATTAACTCAACTCTGGGAAAGTGTGCCTGAGTTCTTTTTTCTATAGCATGAGATTGGACTATTTGAATTCAGAACTCAGAGAGTTGGAAGGGATTTTAAAGCCCTTTAAGAGTTTGGGAATGTTCTCCATTGCTGTCACTTTTCCTCCAAAAATAACTGGGCTTGGAAGTCGTTGGTCCAAAGGGAATTTGACTACCCATAGAAATTGGAGACAAGACAATGCAAGCAGAGAGGAACAGCTGTATTTCTGCTTGAGTAATAATCCCACTAACAGATTCTGGTACGAATTTTGGAGACATAAAGAGAATGAATATATGCACCTTAAGTGTACCAGTTTCCTCTCTTTCTCCCGGCAGAAGATGCAGCACTTTTAGTGGTGCTGGGATTCTGGGGTGTGTTCCTATTAACTCTAATACAGATGAAGAAGATGTGGTAGAAGGAAAGATGGTGGCAGAAGGGATGACTAAAGAGGCCAAAATGCCTGCTAAAAAGAAAAGAAAGAAGAGTTTGAGAATTAAGGGTAAAAGGCGACAGAAAAAATTGATCCTTGCAAAAAAGTTCAGTAAGGATTTGGAATCAGGCAGGCCTGCTGCAGATGCCCCTACCTTGTTAGCTTCCAGTGCCCCTGAGCAGGATGAAGAAAGTCTTTTTGAGAGCAATATAGAAAAACAAATCTACCTACCTAGTACCAGAGCCAAGACCTCCATCGTGTGGCACTTCTTTCATGTTGACCCCCAGTATACCTGGCGAGCTATTTGTAACCTCTGTGAAAAAAGTGTTAGCAGGGGTAAACCAGGCAGCCACCTGGGGACATCCACTCTTCAGCGACATCTGCAGGCAAGGCATTCACCTCACTGGACCAGGGCCAATAAATTTGGAGTCACTAGTGGGGAAGAGGATTTTACTTTGGATGTACCTTTATCTCCCTCTTCTGCTGGAAGCAGCGGAAGCTACGACTATATCCCTGCTGATTCATTAGATGATGATAGAATGGGGAAGAAACGTGATAAATCCATATCTGATGCCCTGAGAGCAGAAAGAGGGAGATTTCTCATCAAAAGTAACATTGTCAAGCATTCCTTAATTCCTGGAACTAGAGCCAAGACATCTGCAGTTTGGAATTTTTTTTATACTGATCCACAGCATATCTCAAGAGCAGTGTGTAATATATGTAAAAGAAGTGTGAGCCGGGGTAGGCCAGGTTCTCACTTAGGAACTTCGACACTTCAACGACACCTACAGGCCACACATCCCATCCATTGGGCTGTTGCCAACAAAGACAGTGGTGCAATTGGGAATGGATTAGATGAGACTGAGGCTGAAACTGAGAGAAATGAACTCTTGAGTGATACTTTGCATGGAGAGAAGTCTACAAGCAGCCAAGATTTAACACCTGAGGACCTTAGTGACTCTGATTCAGATGAACTTCCTGTGTTGGAGGTTGAAAATAGAAGATCTGAGAGTCCTGTTCCTGTTGCAGAGCAAGATACTGTGATGTGTGCACAGGAGAGAGAAACAACCTATTGTGAAAATTCAATTTCAAGTCAGATAAGCCAGGCAATTATTCAGATGATTGTGGAGGATATGCATCCTTACAACTACTTCTCAACCCCAGCCTTTCAGAGGTTCATGCAGATAGTGGCTCCTGACTATAGACTACCATCTGAGACTTACTTTTTCTCTAAGGCTGTACCTCAGTTATATGATTGGGTCAGAGAAAAAATTTTTTTAACTTTGGAGAATGTTCAAAGCCAAAAGATTCACCTGACTGTGGACATATGGACCCATGACCCATCCACTGACTATTTCATTGTGACTGTACACTGGGTCTCTTTGGAAACACTATCTTCTCCCAGTAATAGCAGGATCCCCAATTTTAGAAAGTGGGCGGTGCTTTGTGTAACAGGTTTGGCCAAAGACTGTTTGATAAGCAACATTTTACAAGAATTAAATGACCAGATTGGTCTGTGGCTTTCTCCTAATTTCCTGATCCCTAGCATCATTGTTTCTGACAATTCCTCTAGTGTGGTACATGCAATCAAAGATGGTGGTTTTACCCATGTGCCATGCATCCTGCATTGTTTAAATATAGTTATTCAGGACTTCTTCTGTGAGCACAAAAGCATTGAGAATATGTTAATTGCTGCTAGGAAAACCTGTCATCATTTTAGTCATTCGGTCAAAGCCCGTCAGATACTGCAAGAGTTCCAAAATGATCACCAACTTCCATGGAAGAATTTGAAGCAGGATGAAACTGGCCATTGGATTTCTACGTTTTACATGTTAAAGTGGCTCTTGGAACATTGTTATTCAGTTCACCATAGTCTTGGAAGAGCCAGTGGAGTTGTGCTCACCTCCCTTCAGTGGACTCTAATGACTTATGTTTGCGATATTCTTAAACCATTTGAGGAGGCCACCCAGAAAGTGAGTGTGAAGACCACAGGATTGAATCAGGTGCTACCCCTAATCCACCATTTACTCCTTTCTCTGCAGAAACTCAGAGAAGATTTTCAAGTCAGAGGTATTACTCAGGCCCTCAATCTGGTGGACAGTTTATCTCTGAAACTTGAAACCGATACCCTTTTAAGTGCCATGCTCAAATCCAAGCCCTGTATATTGGCTGCTTTGTTAGATCCTTGCTTTAAAAACAGTTTGGAAGACTTTTTTCCTCAAGGTGCTGATTTAGAAATTTATAAGCAGATCCTTGCAGAAGAAGTTTGTAATTATATGGAGTCTTCACCAGAGGTCTGCCATATGGCAGCTTCGGATGCTTCTGATCCCTCAGCTATAGTAGGAACTGATTCATTTACCTCATCTGTCAGAGAAGGCACCTCCAGTTCAGGGTCTCTTGATAGCTCAGCTGCAGATAATGTTGCCATTGGAAGCAAAAGCTTCATGTTTCCTTCTGCTGTTGCAGTAGTGGATGAATACTTCAAAGAGAAGCATTCAGAAATATCAGGAGGTGGTGATCCTTTGAGTTACTGGCAGAGAAAGGTGAGCATATGGCCGGCTTTGACCCAAGTTGCCGTTCAGTATCTAAGCTGCCCCATGTGTAGTTGGCAATCTGAATGTATCTTTACTGCAAATAGCCACTTTCAGCCAAAGCAGATCGTGAGCCTGGACTTCGACAATATAGAACAGCTGATGTTTCTGAAAATGAACTTGAAAAATGTTAACTATGATTATTCTACGTTGGTTCTAAGCTGGGATCCTGAGAATGAAGTTGTTCAAAGTAATAAAAAAGAAATATCTTGATTTCTTTTTCCTTTCTCCATTTAAAATGGGCAACTTATTGCTATGTTACTGTATCCGAGTTGCTATAGTTGTTATATATAGTTACACTAATTATTCTCTAAACACAAGCCTGGGGAAGTTTGTGAAAACACAAAATGTCTTCCTTAGAGGTAATATAATGTTTGACAAAGTGAAGATTAAAGATTTCACAGTAGTAACTCAGTGTAGCTGTCACTTTAAATTTTGTTTATACCAGTTGAGAGAGAAAAGACACTTTTTAATTTAAAAAAATATAGTGCAGCATTGCAAGGCCTTAGGCTGTTTCTGGCTGGTAGATTGAACTGGTAATTGGCTTTAAGTAAAAATTTCTCTTGATGTGAGAAGTTTGATTTCTCTGAAATCAATGAAATTGAGGAAAAAACATAGTAAGCTGGTATTCCTCCCCCCTCTCCCATTTTTCTCTTTCTTTAAAAACCCTGCTTCATAGTTATAACTTGGCAAAAACAAAACTCAAAAAATTGTTTTATATTGGAAATTTTTTATTGCCTCCTCATACTGGTCAGCGTTATAATTTCAACTTACTGAGTGTGATAGAGTTACGTTTTATATACAGAATTGTACCTGTGTAAAAGGGAAACATGAGAGATCAGGAAAAATTTACTTAGTCTTTGAATTGCCTTTTTTAACCTTCGTAAAATAGTGTAAGAGCAGTAAAAATGAAGATTGTATAAGTCTTTTACATAATTTATGGGTGAATGACATAAGATATAATGAGAATTGGAATGAAAGCCCCAGGAGCATACTTTGGACAGACCTGATAGCCATTTCCCAAAGAACATTTCTCTAATTTTAAAGTTATCGTAAATGTCTTTTAAAAAAATAAATGGAATGACCCATAATACTGTATTCTTAACTATGAGATTGTTTTGGCCTCTATTCTCAACTGAAAATAAGCAGTCAGTATTTACATGTGTTAGGAATTACTGCCTCACTGGGAGAATAAAGAATTGATCTCAGTCCCTTTCCACTCTGAAAGCATGTTTCTGTGATTAAGTGCGAGGCCAGAAAATAATGACTTTTAGTAAAAGTCTATTAAAAGTTTCAGATTGAATAACTAATGTAAGATCCCAATTTTTCCTTTTTTTCATTTTAGATTTGGGGATATTCCCTGCCCAAAAATTTCCTGGAAAATTGACTAGTATTAAGTGTGAGTAAAAGGTGTCCACTTTTTTTTAAGTTTTGATTTTAGTTTTGTCTTGGATAGTATTTGGCAAGATTTAGCCTAGAGACTATGTAGTATTTATTATTACATGAGAATCAAAATTGCTTTGTTACTGGGCTGGTTTCAAAATTTAGAGCTCATTTCTATGTATCAAATTTGTTTTTTGTTTTTGTTTATTTTTTTAATCTTAAATGGTAAATGTACCATTGTGAAATGAAATTTCAACTTCAGAAGTTTACCCTTTTACCAACTGGAGTAAATTAATAATTACAAAGTCTTTAGTTGTAGCCAACACTAGTAAAAATTTGAAACCAGGTTGCATAAGCACGCCTGTACAGGGCCAGTATTGGATGTCATGCTAGTGACCCTGGTACTGGTCTAAAAGAAGATAAAGGTCTTCCCTTAGGTAGAAGCGTTCTGCATTTTGACAGCGCCAGTTCAGGATGGCTGTAATGCTGCCCTGCCTTCCACAGCTTGCTGCGCCACTCTCTAGTTACTCTGTAGCTATATGCTTCTATCTTTTTTGGTTAAACACTCCTTGAAGATGATGATGATGATATACATACATCCATATTTATACACATTGATACATGTGTAAGGGTTTCCCTTCATGTTTATTTTGTGGGCTGGGCAAAATTTAGTGTAACGTATTAATATACTTTGTGATACTTTGGTGTAAGAGTAAGTTCACTATTTTTATAATGAACCCAAATCTAAAGGCTTTTATAGTGTATTTTAAAAGGGAAAACTTACCCAATTGTTTTATTTCTACACATTTGTGTATATGTGTGTATGTGTATAAGCCAGTTAGTATATATGTATGTGTATGTTATATACATAAAACACTTCATATTTTTACATACCAGTATGCTTTTATTATACAGATAATAAAGATGGGGGAAGGTTTCTGTTTTTTTCTTAATAGGTGAAGAAATCTTGAAGACCAGAAATTGGATCTTATTGAATTTTGGTGTTCTTTTCCTTTTTTCTTTTTCTTTTTTCTTTTTAAATTATATTGTTCGTCTATGGAAGATGGATTTTTTTTTTTCAATAATCGTTTGAGTCTCAAGTTCATCTTTAAATGAACTCTTTTGTTTTTTCTTTTGTTTTTGTTTTTGAGGAGATAACTAACTCTAGCTGTCTCCAGCTGACAAAGGTTATACAAATGGACTTTGTCTCCCAATAGTTGGGAGATGTTTTAAAAACACTTCTTGTGTTTGAATTGTGGCTGAGAGGTTTCCTTGGCAATGTGAGGAGGAAAATTCTTTCTGCCTCATTATTATTAATTCATGGATTGAGTGTTGGTTCGACCTACAGGCGTAATAGATTGGAACTCAGTGAAGACACAGAGATTCCTGTTGAGAGCAACCAGCTAATGTAAGTGTGGAAATGTGTTTTTTTCCTCCCCTCTCATTAAAGGAGTAAACATTTTTATAATTTAAGGGATACTTTTCTGGGATCAGTAAGAAATTAAAAATCCATTGTCAGAACATTTTGCTTATAATTATTTACAAGTTTTCGGTTTTTGGATGGAAACACCTGACCTTTTTTTTGATAATACATGCACATTATAATAAAGATAAAAACAATATAGCCAAGGTGAAAGCTCCTTGTATTCCAAAATGGAGATAGAGCAAAATACCATTAATAGTTTGCCACAACTTAGTTTCATGTCCATACACATAGTTCCGCCTCATCTTTTTTTAATGACTACATAGTGTTCCTTTATATGGATATGCTATAATTTAATGTATCCCTCATTGATTGACATTTGGGTTTTTTGCCATTAAAAACAAAAATAACCCCACATCCAGTAACTGGTTGTCAGATGTGAGTACCAGTTGACTGAGGTCTTTTTAATTTGTAATTTTATTGACATATCCCTTTTAGTAAACATACTAATATTTGACCATGTTACTAGTAGATCTTTTGCTATGTAGATGTTTTTCTTTTTATGTAGTCAAATCTGTCAATTTTATTGCTAATGGTTTTTAGCTTTGGTATCATGCCAGGAAAGGTTTTTTTCACACTGAGCTTATAAAAAAATACCATGCGATTTCACTTACGTGTGGAGTATAAAAACAAAGCAAAACAGAAGGAAGAAAATGGCAGTGGATTCATAGACAATGAGAAGGGACTAGTGGTTACCAAAGGGGAAGGATTGGGGAGGGTAGGGGAGTAGGGAGATGGGGGAAAAAGGGGCACAGTAATTTACAATCACAATATAAGTTGGTCACAGGGATGGTAGTGCAGCATGGAGAATACAGTTAATGATTCTGTAACATCTTACCACGTTGATAATGACCGCACTGGAGAGTGCGAGGATTTAATAATATGAGTAACTGTTGAACCACTGTGTTGTATTTTTGAAACCAACATAAGATTGTAGGTTAGTGATACTGTAATTTATTAAAAGAACATACATTTTTTTCCAGTACTGGATGATTATATTTTTTATATTAAAAATGTAACTTAGGGATTATAGTTCTAAATATAACATTGCCTTTTTTCCTTCAATAAACGTGGTGGACATTGTCAGATAGAGCTTGCCTTTTTTGCTAAGCAGTTGTGAGTTCAGCATCTTTCTTAATATAGTGTTTTAATTAGTGAGCAAAAGTCTCTTTGCTATCCTTGCTTTTATTTCCCCAGAGCCTTTTTTGTATGAAGCAGATTTCTTTTCAAATGGGTGGTACAGTTTTTTTGTGGTGGTGTTAATTTCAGATGCTACTTTTTTTCATAAATCACATTTATCCATGGAATGGCTTGAAATCTGTTGGTCTTGTACACTTATTTGACAATATTAGATTTAAATGTTGTTATATTTCACATTTATAATGTCAGCAAGGCCTTCTCATTCTTTTAAAAATTTTATTTTTCTCTTAAGAGTTATTCTGAGATGATTTTATAGTTGTCAAATTCCAGTAATAAATTCTCATTGGGATTTTGACTTGAATTTTGATTTTGAATCGCATTGCACAGTGTGGACATGTTTTGGAGTAGTAGTGGACTTCTGTAAGCCTCTACCCCGCTCTCTCTCTGTTACTCAGGTCTTCTGTGCCTTGGTAGTTTCATACTTCCTTGGTTTTGTTTTTAATGTGTGTATATTTTTTCATTTTCTTCCTGTATATCTTATAGTTTTATTATGAATGGGACTCTTATCATCTGAATGATTATTGCTGGCATAAAGGAAATTTACTTTTTACATCTTACTATATTAGTATTATATCATAACATCTTACTATTTAAAATATTTTTTAGCTGATGGTTAGATTTTCTAGTTTGGAAATATGTAACCTGCAGATATGAAATTTTTTGCCTCATTCTTTCTAGTCTTTATACTTTTTTTCCTTGTATGTATAGACGCTGGAACACTTCTGAGTGATGGTGGAGACAGTGAGCGTGTCCTTTTTCGTTTGCCTTGAGTGAGCTTACCTCTAGTGTTTCATCCATGTTGCATGTGTTGATGGTTTCTGGTGATTTAAGTGCATTTATCTAAGGAGGTTCCCTGTTACTTGCTAAGGTTTTGTCGGGTAGATATTGCATTTTAGCTTCTCTTAAAAAGCCATTTTAACTTTCAAAAAAATACCATTTTAATTCCTCCTTTCCCCCCTTTTTTTTACCATTGTTTCCTTTTTTGAAATCTTAAGATACTACAGGTTTTGTTTTTGTTTTTATACCCGTTTCAACTCCTCGCCCCATTAATGTAATGAATTTCCTAATGGTTAGGCTCTTGGAATAAATCTTTTGATCATGTAATTACTTTTAATATACTGTGGTTCAGTTTGCTTTACTTAAGATTTATCAGCTGTATCATAAATCAGACAGCCAAAGAAGTTGTTTGGAAACTTAAAAAAACAGTGAAATAATGCCTGTGACATGATTTTGTTTTTTCTATTTTTATTGACCTCTTTTTTCTACTTTCTTTTTCTCAAGTTAGAATACTTAAATAATTTTTTCAAGAATACATGGGATTCATAGATGGTATACTTTTTGAGATTTTCATGTCTTAAAGCTTCTTCCAGGTCCTGAGATCTCCTTGAAATCTAGTTTGAAAGGCTAAATCTAAGGTCATAATGTCTCCTCTAAATTGTGCATACATAGCATTTTGTCTTTCTATAATTTAAAGATTCAGATGAGAAGTCAAATGTTGTGTCTAATTTTCTTTTGTTCGACTTGAGTGATTTTTCCTAGAAGTGTAGTATGGTTCTGTCTTTACTTTTAGAATTCAAAAATTCCATTGTTTCTGTGGCTTATAACAATTTATTACCTCAGTTCTGGGGGTTAGAAATCTTAAAAAGGTGTTGGTGGGGTCATGCCCTCCTAAACCTGTGCAGGGGAATGATTCTTCTTGTCTCTTCTGCCTTCTGGAGTTTGCTGGCAGTTCCTGGCTTAGAGATGTACTACTCCATTCTCATGGCCACCTTCCCTCTGCGTGTCTTCACATCATCTTCCCTTTGTGTGCGTATGTGGCCTTCAGTCCAAACAGGCAGCCTTTCTGCTATGAAGGTTGATTGGATCCAGAAGTCACACACCCAGTCTCTTCTGCATACCACTGTCCAGCCATACCCTTGGTGTTCTCTGCCGAGCACACGTTCTCATTGTTTGCGTATGGCTAGACCGAGAATTATCCAGATCTTGTGTTTGCTTTTCGCTCTGTAGTTCCTTCTTCAGTGTATCCCTTTCCTCTGGCATTTTACTGTAAGCAGCAAGGAAATACCAGGCTGTACCTTCCATGCATTCCTTAGAAATCCATCACTTTGAAGTTCTACCTTCCACTCTACAGAACACAACTAATTCCCCTAAGTTCTCTGCCACTTTATCACAAGGATGACCTTTCTTACAGATTCAGTAACATGTTCCTCATTTCTCGTTTCAGGCATATTTCTGGTTGGCATATTTTTATAGCAGCATTCTACTTCCCAGGATACCAAAATCTGTAACGGGATGTACATTGTCACACTATCTGGATGTACTGTAATTTTTTAAAAACAGACTCTAATTTTTGAACATTTAATTTTCTAGATGATTTTTCTTTGTTTGAAACAAGGTGGTGATGAATTTATGCATTATTACTTTGCATATTTGTTGAATATTTACCTCAGGATAAATTCCAGAAATGGAATCGTGTGTCAAAGGGAGTGTAGATTTTAATGGTTTTAGTACCTGTTTAATAGTAGGCTCTTATTCCTCATCTAGGTTGCTGACTTTAAAGCTGGCTTTAATTGTGTCCTGCTATTCTTGGATTAGGATTATTAATTGGAGATACGATTTTGTTTTGATTTCAAGTTGTAGCTCATTATTTCTGAAACTCCATCTCTAAGTGTACAAGTCTATAGAAGCCCTGTCTAAATTCTGAGAAGTACTCTTGTCTCGTGTTTTTAATTTAGTGGAAGCTTTCTTGAACACTTTAGTGTGGGAGCCAGGATATGGCTGGAACTGAGGGGAGGGAGTGTATGTAGGTTGGTTTGTGTGAGCACCGTTGAGTGGGGAGAGCCCTGAGAATTTCTTTTGTTCCTTATAATTGGTGTGCAACTGTCTTCATTATATGAGCTAGTTCTACAGGTGTTTTCAGGGTTAATTGTTTCACCAGTTTTTCTAGTTTGTTTTTCCCACCTATTTACAGTTACACATTTTTGAAATAACAAAAATGTTTGTGAAAATATTGGAGTTTTTGTCAGAAGAAAAAATTAATTTGTCAAATATGTAGTAGCAAGTTGTGTAAAATAATGTAAGACTCATTTATAATCTAACATCATTTGTTAAGTTAGCAAGGTTATTTAATTTGATGATGAAACTATGTAACAAACATAAAGAATACAAAAGAAAGAGGGCTTGGCATTCCTTAACAGAAATTTCAAATTGTAAATGAGAATGCACAATATTCGCATAAGGATTAAATGTGAGTCTGTGTTCACAAGGCTCTTCATAGGCGAGTACATATTAACACAGTTAAGTCTGGGTTTATGTGATCTCATAGTCAAGGTGACTTGGAGGAGGAAGGTGGAAGAATTCATCTGAAATACTTTAATTCAATGTCTTCTCATTTTAGGATTACGTTTTAAAGACGATTTCGGTGATTGAGTTGACTTTTGGAAGATTAAACCCATTTCAGGAGGACTTGGAGCTGGTCCTCACCTTGAGGAAGTAGTGGCTTGTTTTCAAGAGCCACTGCTGATCTGAGGTTCTACCCAGCATGCCTAATCAAGGAGAAGACTGCTATTTTTTTTTCTATTCTACATGTACCAAAGTAAGAATTGGCTTTCTAAATCAGTTCTTTCTACAATTATGCTAATAAAATTGGATAAGATTTTCCCTATGTACTAAGTTTTTATGTTTTGTTTTGCTCTTTTGCTCAGCTGTTTATTTGTCAGTTTTTTAGTAAAGGGTAGAATTCATTATTCATCTTTTTTCCCCTCTTCCTTTTATGTTCTTCATGTTCCACAAAAGTGAAAAGATCTATGGCGTATGGTCATCACTCAGTGTTATCTGTAATTAGTCTGTGCAGGGTGCCTTTGGGGTTAGGAGCGCATTGGCCTGTGGCTTGTCAACTTTTATTTACTTTGTATTAAAAGAATGGGTGGGCTATATTGTACTTCTAGAAACTGGTGGGTTGCATTTTGACTCCAGATTTCCTGCTGAATACGAAAGCCATCTTTATAAATATGTTTGCAGCTTTTTTGCTTTTTCTTTGTCAAAACTTCCTGTTTTTCTGATTGATTCTTCTGCAGCTCCATTTAGAGCTACACATTTTTCATCATTCCTTTGTGATTAATTATATAAGTACATATTTTGTTGCAAAAACTTTTCTTAATGGTATTTAAAATTACTGGTTTTAAGCAAAGCTCTAATGTTACATAACAGTTTGTCCCACAGTAGCATTTTGTTTCCAATATTGCCCTTGTATAAAGTATATAGAGAAGTGAGGAATTATACTTAAATCCTAATCTGTTAATTTGTTTTCTGATTTTTCTACCAAAAACTAGTTACACAAGTCCAGATGTGTGAAATGGTTTTGAAGATGAACTGTAAAATACATTTTTAAAGAGCACCTGATACTCCCCCTTGTCTTTTTCAACCCCTTTTCACCTTCTGTCACTCATGTCTGATCAGATGAAGGGGTATTCTCAAGGAATAGGTTGTAAGAAATAAAAAATTGTTGACCTCAGATTGTTCTTAATATTGTATCTCAGTTTTCTATCTTGCCTATTGTGTTTGGATAGATGCCAGGAAAGTCTTACAATGAGCATCTTACCTGAGATCCAGTTGCACACCTCAATTCCTTTCTGTATTCTCTTGGTTTACAGGGTGACAGCTGTCCTTTCCGTCACTGCGAAGCTGCACTAGGAAATGAAACTGTTTGCACATTATGGCAAGAAGGACGCTGTTTCCGACAGGTGTGCAGGTTTCGGCACATGGAGATTGATGTAGGTTTTCAGTTTGTATTCCAATAAGTAGTCTGGTGTCGTGATATGCCAATAATATAGGGGAAAAAGAGATAGGAGTCTGACTATCTCTTTCCCAAAAGTCAGAAATTTGGTTCCCATTGTCCTTAATATTATTTGATCAGTCCCCTAATTATTTAAACTAATATTATATTACAGTCTCTTCCTGTCAGGCTCTGACATCACACATGAGGTTGTGCCGCCTCCACAGGGACATTTCTCGCCTTGTTTCAATTCCAGCACCTGTACCCACCTCCCCCTTTGCTCCACTATGAGGCCCTTCCTCACCCTGCTTGGACCCCACTCCTAGAGTACACCCTAGTGGGCCTCTCTCCCTGGTAGAAGCCCCTTTCACACCCTTGGACTTGACACTGTGTTAGGCAGCCCTCCAGTGCGAGAGCTGCTTTCCTCACCTTGCTCATTCTCCCATTTTTCCACTCAGGAGCACCCTGGGTACATCCTCTTCACCCTACACTGGAATCCCTTTCGCACAGAAGTTTAACTCACTCTGCTCAGGCTCCAGCTCTTTCAGGCCACCCTCCTACACACACGTCCTCCTGACCTCTTAGGGGTTCTGGTACCCTAAGCCAGTTCCACCTTGTTATGTGGATAAGTCCTTTCAGTCAGGCTCTAAAACCCTTCTCTGTACCAGGTGTCATTCTCTTGGCATGAGTGCCTGCCTCTCTCAGCCTCACCTAATGACTTCGGGCTGAATTGTTTGAGAGTGGGTGGGGAAAGTGGGAGGAGACTGAATATATAATTTGTATTCCTGGGGTTATACAACTATTCAAGTCTGGCTCCAGATTTATAGTCTCTTAACTATGTTCTATGCTGCCTGTCTTAAAAATAACAGGGAATTTAGTAAATAAATTCAGAAAAAGAAATACTCTGAGGGAGGAGACTGAATATATAATTTGTATTCCTGGGGTTATACAACTATTCAAGTCTGGCTCCAGATTTATAGTCTCTTAACTATGTTCTATGCTGCCTGTCTTAAAAATAACAGGGAATTTAGTAAATAAATTCAGAAAAAGAAATACTCTGCAACTTTTGAAAAAGCATGTTGTAACTTGCTGACAGTGTAATTTGGTACAACTCCTGGGGAAGGTACGTCAGGGTCTCTAAGAACATCTACACTTAAAGATTCTGTGGAAGAACTGGGAGTCTGCATGTAGTTGTATTCATGGCTAAGGTTTACCACAGTGGTATAGTAGTGATACACTGTCTGATCATAAGAGAAAGACACAGGCAAAGTTTGAAGAAATCCGTATGTGGGTTTCTTTTATAAGCTTTCCCTCCCGTGAAGAGTCACACAGAGCACACACTTCCTCCAGCAATGAGAGTACAGCCACGTGTGGGATGTTTCTGCCCAGGAAGCCTGTCACAGACTCAGCATCAGAGGTTTTTACTGGGGCTAGTCACATGGCACCCCCTACCTAACACATACAAAAACCCCAGACTCTCAGAAGTTTGGCAGGTGTTCAGCCTGACCCGTACTGTTTCCCCAGACAGTCTAGGCACGAATGGGTTAGCCGACTAGAACATTCCGAGAGCCGAGGTGCTGCATGCCGGCCCAGGGCCAGCCTTGCTGGGGGCTTCTAGGGGCAGCAGTCATAGGGCTACTCAGTTAACTCTTCTGCACAGTCTTATTTGGCTGCATCTTTTAGAACTAGTAAGTGCTTTATACTTTTGTCTCATCTGTACTCGTGTAAAATGAGGCATGTGCAGAATTACTCACTGTAGCCTAATTTGTAATAATAAAATGTATGAAACAACCTAACCATTTAGAATAAATTTTACTACATACAGTGAGCAGTTGTTAACAAAACATTTTAGAAGGGAAACTACCTATTTATTGGTATGGAAAAATCAGGATATGTTGTCAACAAAAAAAAGCAAGGGAGAATAAGGTGTGTCATGTGCTACCATTTGGGTAAAAGGGAAAATAATATATATTTGTTTTTTCACTTGCAAATACATTTTAAAAGTCTCTGGAAGTGTAAAGGAGAAACTTCACAGCAGTGGCTCTAGGAGAGTGGGGACAGGAATGAGCAGAGGACTTGACTGTGTACCCCTTCTGTAGGCAGTGATTTTCATTACTTGTGGGTTCCACATTTGCAAATTTGCCTACTTGCTAAAATTTACTGCATCCCCCAAGTCAATACTGTGGTGCCTTCCTGGCCATCCACAGGTGTGTGCAGAGCACCGACCTTCCTGGCCATCCACAGGTGTGTGCAGAGCACTGACCTTCCTGGCCATCCACAGGTGTGTGCAGAGCACTGACCTTCCTGGCCATCCACAGGTGTGTGCAGAGCACTGAGAGGCTCGAGCCGCCTGGCATAACACGCCCGGCTGAGATCCCACAAGGTGGCACCGCTCTACTTCGGCTCTCGTGCTGTTGTAACAAGTGTCCTTTTTG